TCTTTTCTGGCCTAATTTATTGGGTGTTCTATAGGCCTCTTGTATTTTTATTGGCCTCTCCTTTAAGTTTGGGAAATTTTCTTCAATGATTTTGTTGAAAATATTTTCTGGGCCTTGGTGCAGGGAATCTTCTTTTTCCTCTATTCCTATTATTCTTAGGTTTTGTTTTTTTATGTTGTCTTGAATTTCTTGGACGGTCTGTGTCAGGAATTTTTTAGATTTAACATTTTCTTTGACAGATACATGTATTTCTTCCATTGTATTTCTTCCATTGTATCTTCCACAACTGAGATTCTTTCTTCCATTTTTTGTAGCCTATTTGTTATGCTAACCTCTGTAGTTCCTGCTTTCTTCCCTAAGTTCTTTCTCTCCACAATTTCTTCCATTTGTGTTTTTTTTTTTTTTTAATTTTTCCAATTCTATCTTCAGGTCTTGAGCCATTTTGTTGGTTTCCTTCATCTGTCTGATTGTATTTTCATGTTTTTCCATCAATTCCTTGAGCTGTTTGTTGGAACAATCCTCTGTTTCTTTTATTTCATTCAGTGATTTAAGCATTTCCTCTCTAAAGGCCACAAACTGTTTGGCTTCAGCTTCCTCTATTTCTTTTCGTATTTTATTTGTTTCCTCTGTTATCTTCTTCATGAACATAGATGTTAGGTCATCTTCTTAAATTTCAATTATGCTGGGGTGTCTAGGGATATTTGCCCCTGGATAACTGGGTTCTGGAGATGCTATATTGCTCTGGCTTTTGTCCTCTACCCATTGAGCTATCTTAGGTGTTTAACTTCAGTTTCTGGTTGTTCCTGGACTCCTGTGGTGGAGAAAATCCCTTTGGCAGGAAGATGGTATTTCCTGAAGGAAGCCTTCTCAGCTTTTTGGGTATAGTCACTGGATGGCCGGTGTTTTTCAGGAGTTGCTACAGCTCACCTCTGGCATAGAGAACTGGGTGGTAACTGTGGTCCTTATTAGTTGAGAGGGCTCTTCTCTCACTGGGAGAAGTCCTGGAGACAGCTGCCCTGCTTCTGGGTTTCTTGCTGTAAATTTAGTGATCAGCTGCTGTAACCTGTGTGTCCCGTGGTTTGGTCGGTTTTGTTAGGGATAACTGGTTGCCTCTTGGAGCAGTATCTGGGGGTTGATCTCAGGGTTCCCGGTCTTTTGTAGTTTTGAGGTTGGGGCTCAGAACCCAAGAGGTAATCTGTGGCGGGTGAGTACTGCTCTCCTGGTAACAGCAGGCTATATGGGGCACAGCAGTTCCCTGGGTTGAGCCAGTCTGTGGGACCTTTTCCGGGGATATACTGGGTTGCCTAAGTCCGTCCCCTTTGCTTCGATCCTTTTTCTTGTGAGGGTTTCTCTAGACAGTGACTCCAAGATTCTGGTGTCTTGGGGCACACAGTTCTGTCTGTAAGGAGTAGTTGGTACAAATCAGGTCTCTGGGCTGGGGGAGCGTGTGCCCGTCTGCTAGTCTGCGGGAGCTGAGTTCCCAACAACTCTGTGCTCTCTGCTCGGACCTGGATCTGTGATGGCTGGGCGTACTCGCCTGTCTGCCTTTTGCAGTCTGCGAGGCTTTCCCCGGGCAAAGCCTAGGTGACCCAAGCAGCACGGTTTTTTCCTTCCCTGTGGGGCCCTCTCAGGACAGGGATTCTCAGGCTCTGTCACACTGGGGCTCGCAGCTCCTCTGTACTGGTGAGCTAGGCACGCAGCCACTCAGGTGGCCCAAGCAGCAGGGTTTCTTCCTTCCCTGTGGGGCCCTCTCAGGACAGGGATTCTCAGTCTCTGTTGCACTGGGGCGCGCAGCTCATCTGTACTGGTGAGCTGGGCACAGCCGCTCTCTGCGTGGCGGGAGCTCAGTTGTGATAGCGGCGGGTACCCGTGGTCCGCGAGACCTTCCAGGGAAAGACTGGGTGACCCGTGTTTAGTCTCTTGACTTTCCTTCCCCGTGGGTTTTTTTTGCGACTGGGACTCCTAGTCTCTGGCACCCTTGTGCCCACCGATCCACCTGGGAAAGTGATCGGGACACGCTGGCATGTGGCTCCAGCCCGGAGACCCAAAGCCCGCGTTACCTGGGATCTCTTCCGGGTTCTGGCTGGGCAGCCGAGAGTGGACCCGACAGATTCCCACGCCGTGGGAGCCTCCCCTCACCTGGAAAACACGATCGCTGTAGTTTTAGGGCCCAGAGTTCAGTTTCCTGGTCGCTGCACGGAGAGTGTTGTCCCGCTTCTCAGATACAGTGCTCTCCCGGCGCCGCCATCTTGGCTCCCCCCGTTTTGGCATTCTTTTCCTGCATGATCATCATGCTGGTCTCATGAAGTAAATGTGGACTTATTTCCTCCTCTTCAAATCTGCAAGAATTTGAGAAAGATTAGCTTTAATTTTTCTTTGAATTCTTCAAATCATTTTTATAGCCATCTGTTCCATGGATAGTCCTTTGTTGGGAGGTCTTTGATTATTCAAATTATTATTAATCCATTTATATTTTTATTTTTCATAATCTTGTCTTAATAGTTTGTGTGCTTCTAGAACTCTATCCATTTCTTCTAGCTTGCTCAATTTGTTGGAATATATTGGCAATTGTGGTTTCTTATGATCTTTTGTATTTATTTAGTATTAGTTGTAATGCTTCCGCTCTCATTTATAATTTTGGGTCATTAATGCAGAAGTAGAGATTTTCAGTTTTGTTTAACTTCAGAAAGCCAACTCCAGATTTCCTTTCTTTCCTCTCTCAGGTTCTTTTGTTTTTCCCTTTTGTTCTATGGAACAAACCTAGGGCCTCCATGTAAATGTATGCTTACCGTTTAGCTACACCTCCAGCCCATCTCAACCTTAGCTCCATTAATGCTTCCTGTTGTTTTTATTGTCTATAATTCTTCGTCCTCCCTCCTCTCTCCACATCCTCCTGCTCCTTCTTTGTCACTTCTTCCTCCTCCTCCATCTTTTGAAACTGAGTCTTACTTTCTTGGCAAGTAGTCCTGGATGGTCTCAGATGTAAGATGGTCCCACCTCAGCTTTCTGAGTGCTGGGCATGCACCATTTGCCTGGCCTTCCCAGCTTAACAGTTCTTCCTCTTATGGGACATGCTTGTGTTGTCAAATATGTGAAATCTTTACCAAACATTCAATTCAGAAATACTTCTCTCCCCCTGAAATTTTTATGATTTTATATTTAAGCAAATATAACACATCCATTTGAAGTTGGTTTTATATAAAATGAAACCCATTGCTTTTTATTTGGGAAGTCTAATTATTCCAGCACCTTTTGCTGAAAACATTCTTTCTTCTGTTGAGTTGCTTTAAATTTGTATAAAAAAAATCACTTGAGTGGATCTGAGGTCTTGTGAGCTCTTCATTCTGTTTTGTTGCCTTCTGTATCAATCTATTTGCCACATCTTTGATAACTGTTACTATTGCCTTGTGTATCAATCCATTTGCCACATCTTTGATAACTGTTACTATAAAATGTGCTTTCATATTAGGTAGGTATTAATCCTACTGTATTGTTTTTAAGGTTTTAAAAAGCTAATCTAAGGTTCTGCTTTTCCATAAAAATTTTAGATCAAATTTGACTATTTCTGATAAAAAAAAACCTACCAGTGGGACTTTTATAGCTTTCATTGAACATATAGATCAGTGTGAGAGCTGACATTTCACTCTGTTGAGTTAGTTTTCCAGTCCATGAACTCAGTATGTATCTCTGTTTGTTTAGATTCTCTTTATTTTTATAGCTTTCAACATCTAGGCTTATTTTATTTGAACATAGTAATTTCTGCACTATTGTTTTAAAGGCATATATTTCAGTATTTTGTTTCCTTTTATTTTGTGAATGGCAGATTTTGGATGCCATATGTTCATCACTATTACTTGTTGATGCTACTGACCTCCTTTTCAAGACACTGCTGAATTTGCTAGCTAGTCCCCCATATTTTATATTCTTTTTGTGAAGATGATTATGTCATCTGCAAATATGTACAGATTGATTTCTTAATTTCCCATCTACATTTTTTCTTCTTTTAGTTGTAAAACTTGCAGCACTCTTTGAAATTAGTGTGGTATGCTCCTGATCTTACAGAAAAAAAATTCAATCTTTAACCAATGAGACTGATAACTGTTTTCTAGAGGACGGTCTTTAAACTGAAATAGTTAATTCATAATTTGTTTTTTAAGGTCTTTTTTATAATATGTTCTAGATCTTTTCGTGTCAGTGGTATATGATTTTCTTCTTTAACCTATGTATTGATTTATTTTCAGCTTTTATGTAACTAAATTCTCATATTTTCCATGGTCTGAACAACCCTCACCTTCCCTTTCCACCTTGGGAATTAAAACCATGTTTTCTGAAATTGATACTCCAGCCAAGGACCACTCATAGAGATGGCCTGGAACCCCTGCACAGGGGTGGCCCATGGCAGTTTAGGATCCAAGTGGCCTCCATAGTAATGGGGACAGGGATCGTCTCTGACATGAACTGATTGGCCTGCTCTCTGATCACCTCCCCCTGAGGAGAGAGAAGCCTTACCAGGCCACAGAATAAGACAATGCAGCCACTCCTGATGAGACCTGATAGACTAGGGTCAGAGGGAAGGGGAGGAGGACCTCCCTTTTCAGTGGACTGGGAGAGGGACACGGGTGGGTATTGCTCGATTAATAGTATAGGAAACCATGGCTTGAAGGTCTTGGGTATCATGCTTAAACTCTAGAACTCCCTAATTGATGTGTTCAGCAGATCTGAGCTCATGTTCTAGCTATGCTGGTCAAGTGGTAAGATGTGGAGCTATATTCTTTTCTTAGTCCTCAATCTATAAAAAAGAATGGTCAGAATCTCCCTCACTTAAACCTCTTCTATCGCTTTGGCATCTTTTTTCAAGTAATTATGTGATCATATAGGAATTTCAAACACTAAGACAAGAGTAATCTGTTCATGGTATGACTTCCTTAAACTATGATGTAGATACATATTTTGTTATTAAACATATAACTCTTGCTGTCTGCGCCCCCTCCTGTTTTTAGAGAGATGGGACCGTGTCACCACTACTACAACTAGAAAGCCAGTAACAACTAGAGCACCACCAATTCCTATGGGTAAGACAAGCTCTCTGAGGAGAGAAGTAAGGATGGATGTCCACATCAGCTGTTTGTTTAAATGGGTGTCTTAGTTAGGATTTCTATTGTGATGATTAAACACCATGACCAAAAAGAACTTGGGAAGGAAAGGGTTTATTTAACTCATGCTTCCATATCACTGTTCATCATTGAGGGGAGCCAGGACAGATTCTCAAACAAGGCAGGAACCTGGAGGCAGGAGCTGAGGCAGAGGCTATGGATGGGCCTGATCTTATGGAAACATTTTCTCAGTTGCGGTTCCCTCCTCTCATATTACTCTAGCTTGTGTCAAGTTGATATTAAAAACTAGCCAGGACAGTGTGTGATTATTTCTTTTGTTTTGTGGTCCCCAGATCCAGATGGTTTTAGTTTGGCTGATGCTTTGGATGATCGAAATGATCTAGATGGTGGCAAAAAGCCAAATGAAAGAGATGGAGAAGGTAAGTCCTAGCCTTGTGACATCACAGGCCAATGCCTGTAGGGTTTGTTCCTGGTAGGGTCTGTCTTTTTTACCTGTAGTGACGTTCCAAGCCATTCCAAGCACCATAGATCCAGACCATTTTAAGCTGTAGGAGAACTCTACCATAGTAATGCTGAAACCTTTTGGTCTTGGGATTTCCCAAATTATTGGGAATCTCAATAACCTTTTGTCTGTGTAGGTCATATCCATCAGCGTTTATCATCTGTATATTTAAAAAATTAAAAATCAGTATCATTAGTCTAAAATGATTAATACTAAACCAATACACATTAAAATGAGTAGCACATTTTATGACAAATTACTATATGTGGCAAGATAAAAACAATTTAGTGCGATGAGTGGCATTATTTTACATTTTTTAGAAATCCCTAGAGTATCCATCTTAGCAGGTGCTAACCTGGTTTCTCATATTGACTTATGCAGCTTGAAAGCTGTCATCTGACCTGCACACGTCCAGTGTGGCACATGCATTCCTGCACACACACACACACACACACACACACACACACACACACACTTTAAATAATAAATAATACAATTAAATTTAAAAGTGTTTAAAAACAAACATATATATAAATAAGAACTTTAAGAAAAAGTGTTTGGTAACTTTTCCTCATTCAGTTACCCTTTAGTTATGTTTCTAACGTTTCTAATTGTCCTGACTTGGCAAGCAAAGCAAAGACGAAGTATTCATTTGGCTTATCGTTTCAGAAGTGATTGGGCATTAGCATGACTCAGCTGGTGAAATTGTATCCTCACTCAGGAAGCCCAAAGGAAGAGACAGGAAGTAGCCTAGTTAAGCTCAAATGTCAGCTCCCAGTGACATATTTCCAAAAGCTGAGGCTCAGGAATTCCAACACATGAACCATATAGGGTCATTTCACATTTGCACTACAACACCCATCCAATGGACTTTTGCCTTATTTGTTGCTTTGTAACAATGCAGGTTAGTTCTTTGGAAAACCTTGTTGTTTGGGGATTTATCAAACTTCAGTGTAATGCCACACTCTATTATTAGAAGAAAAAGCCAATTTCCTACTAATACCATCAAAACCACTGGAAAAAGTCTCTATGTAGTAAGATACTAATAGACTCACAATAGCTTATAAAGGCTGCACTTGAAATCTTATTGACAAGTAGCATCAGTGGCTATCCTTAACTAATGGGCTCTTTTAATTCAGTTTTAAGAAATGCTTCCCAAATAATCAAGTTGATACAGTATTCATTCTGTGCAGCAAAAGTGGTCTCATAACACAAAGTATATAAAACTAACAGAACTGAACGATAACACAGATGACTTTTGTGAATCACCTCCAGTACTTTGGAATACAGTAGAAACACTTTAAGCACACTTTGCATTTCAGCACATAGGACATTCAGGAAGATGTGTGCTTAATAAGTTGAACTATACTTAATAATGATTCTGCTTCTTGTATTTAGTATCTATGATTGTGTCACAAATCATGAGAGAGTCAGTGAGACTTGTTTAAAGAAATGAGTTAAGAATTTCCTTTTATAGAATTTGTGGTACTTTTACACAATGGAATACTACTCAGCAATTAAAAATGAGGAAATCGTGAAATTTGCAGGCAAATGGTGGGACCTAGAATCGATCATACTGAGTGAGGTATCCCAAAAACAGAAAGACACACATGGTATATACTCATTTATATAGACCTATAAGATAGGATAAATATACTGAAATCTATACACCTAAAGAAGATAAACAAGAAAGAGGACTCAGAGTAAGATGACCAATCCTTACTTAGAAAGACAAATGGGATGGACATTGGATGTAGGAGAAAACAAGTAACAGGAGAGGAGCCTACATCACAGGGCCTCTGAAAGACTCTACCTAGCAGTGTATCAAAGCAGATATTAAGACTCATAACCAAAACTTCGACAGATTGCATTGAATCATATGAAAGAAGGGGGAGTTAGTAAGACCTGGAGAGTACAGGAGCGCCACAAGGACCAAATATATCAGGGCACAGGGGTCTTTCATGAGACTGTTTCTCCAACCAAGGACCATGTATGGATATAACCTAGAACCCCTGCTCAGATATAGCCCATGGTACCTCAGTGTCCAAATGGGTTCTCTAATAAGGGGAACAGGGACTGTTCCTGACATGAACTCAATGGCAAGCTCTTCACCACCAACCCCCTCCCCCCAAGGAAGGAGCAGCCTTGCTAGGCCACTGAAGAGGACATTGCAGCCAGGCCTAAAAAGACTTGATAAGCTAGGGTCAGATGGAAGGGGAGGAGGTCTTCCCCTATTAGTGGACTTGGAAAGGGGCAGGGAGAAGATGAGGGAGGGAAGGCGGGATTAGGAGGGAATGAGGGAGGGGGCTACGGCTGGGATAGAAAGTAAATAACCTGTGATTAATATAAAAAATAAATAAATTTAAAAATAGAAAAAAAATTCCTTTGTTCTTTTAAGAAGCTGAGTTTTCTCTTCAGAGTCACAGATAGCTGCAATCACTGTACTGGGAGGAGGGGTCTCATCTTCAAAATAAGGTCATGTGCTTGTTAATAGAGTACATTTCCTTTCAGCTATAGGGCTAGTGGCTCCTTTAAGACCACTGGGGAAAGAAGAGATTTAAGCTTCCAGTATCTGGGTTCACTTGTTTGAGTCAGGCCCTTAATTACTTTGACAAAATCCCTTCATTTTTGGCTTATAATGTGACTTAATTCGCTAGGATTATATCCAATCTCTCTGTGGTCACACGAACACTCAAGGTAATTGGAAGTTGTACAGAACTTATTCTGGCAATGGGCACTCTGAGGGTCCTTTTGGAATTTTACCTGTTGTCTTCATTCTATTTCATCTCTCTCTTCTTCCTTCCCTTCTTCTTCTTTCTCCCGCCATCTCTCTTTAGTTTGGGCACTAGGCATGATCCTCAGGGCCTTACATGTTCTGTACCACTGAACCACATTCCCAGTACCACAACTAAGAACACCCAAGTGTCATTGGCAATATTTACTAATCCAAATTTCTTGCTTCTGATTTTTTTTCCACCGAAATGTATGTTTTTATCTAGGTTTCTCGGACAAGGATCTTGAAGACATACTGGGAGGTGGAGGATATAAACCTGATAAGAATAAAGGTAGGAGTATTTCTTAGTCCAAAACCACACATAATTCTTGTTAAAATGTTGGCCATGCGGCCTCCAGGTAAAGCATGCCATTCTTACTCAGCCTCTGCAAAATAAGGCTTAAACATTTCCACTTGTAACTCGGGTGGGCTGTCATTCTTGGAGGTAGGGGATTATTTGTAAGATATCCTGGAGAAACTGCCCATTTGTCTTATTGTTCTTTAATCTAAGGTTCTGCCTGAGCTAGTGTCTGACTAACCAAACCAAACCAAACAACCAAAAAAAAAATAAATAAAAGTCCTTTGTATTAATAATTTTAGATGGGTAAGAGTTTTAAAATGGTTCAGGAAAGCTCCTGTGTACTCTTTACCCAGCATCTCCTGAGGATCCTCTATTTCAGAACCATAGTAGGTTGTCTAAAGTAGGAAGCTGACATCTGTACAATAAAGTCACCAATTAACTTAATGGAAATTTTGTCAGATCTCATCTTACATGCACTGCTCTCTCTCTCTCTTTCTCTCTCTCCGTGTATATATGAAATTTTACTACATGTGCAGATTTCAATAGCCATCAGCACAACTGGGGAGACATTATCATTGCTGTACAATGTCTGCTTAAATGCAACATCATAAAATCTTTTCTTCATGCTGCCCCTTGAATAGTCTTGTCCTTCCCCTAGATGCATGTTTGTAGTTCTCCCAGCTATGAATGATTGAAACCTTTCATCATCACATATGTGAAGATGGACCTTAAACATGGGGTCAGAGGTATGAGTAGATTTGTTGGTGTGGGAAAATAAGGTCATGTTGCAATCCACAGGTGTAACATGCTACAACGATGACCTCTGACTACAGTCACTTGTGGCAAGATCTTAGACTGACAAGCTGTGGTGTTTGAAACCCTTTGCTTTATTATTCCCTGTTGTGATGGAAAACTGTAGGAGGGTCTGAAGGCTGCAAGTTATGAGTATATCTGGATATACCATGTAAAGGTCCCCCTCCCCTTCCCAAGCCCTGGCTGAAGTCATAGCATTTGCTTCTTTCTTGCAAGCTCTGTGCCTTTCATGTGGGAACAGTGTTCTCTTGCTTAAAGTGTACTGTAGTCACATTTGTCCCCAGAAACACCTTTCCAGATGGTGTCATCTCTAGGTATAAGCCCTAAAAGCCTCTAAATGAGACTTCCAGGTGTCAGGAGAACATGGAACATTGAAAGGGCAAACCCAGCAAATGAGCCAATTACTCCTGGGTGACAATTGGTATTTCCAGATGGGGAGATGAGGGCAGTAGTCGTGTATGTAAGCATGCAGAGGAATGAAAGTCTGAATGACATGCCAGGGGCTTTTCTTCATTAAAAGTACTTGTTTTAGCAAGAAAAAAGTGTTAGAAAATTCTTTAATTAGGCTCATATTGGAGCTTGTCTTGTAAAGAATAATCAATTGTTAGCTTCAGTTAGCCCCTCTGTCATCATAGGTGTCAGGAAAGAAGTTCAAGTGGTGAAACTGGAACATGGGTGAGATTCACAGACACCATCCTTTACACCAAAACAAGCTCATGATGGGACTGAAGGAAAGCATCACATTTACATAAATTATAAACTCAATTAGTGCACTTCCCAGACTTAAATCTTCAAGACATAGCTTCAGTTGTTGTTGACAGTGCATTTCTCAAGTAATATATTATCCGTTGTATATTTTTACCTCAAGACAACATTTTGACAGACTGAGTCTGGCTCAGAATGAGTTTGTAACTGAGCCTTCTAGCATCTCTTGAGTAGAGTGGCTTGCAAATGCTCTACCCTTACTCCTTTCTTGACCTTCCTAAACTCAGATCACTGACATTTTTTTTTTAAGTCAACAACCTCCTTCTTTTCCTAGCACGGATTGAAGAAGGTCCTAAGAGGTTTCTTTGCACTTGTTTCCAAAACATTTTTAGCTTTAACTTGGGGAAATATATACCAAATGGTCCTAGTCTTCTACAGTGTAGAGACATGTCAGACACCTGCAGTCCCTCCAACACAACAGGGAGTACAGCATGAACATGGGTGGCAGGGTTTGCTGAGCTGTTCTTAATGTATAACATTGGGTGTTTTAATGTCCCATATCAGATCAGGACAAGACACACCATGTTATCTACAGAATATTCTCAGTTCTGTGGTAGGAAATGGATGAGATATGACTGTGAGAGTTTCGGCAACAGTAAGAATATATTCCCTGGTGGTTAGCCCAGACACTCAGTATGTTTTGACATATTTTTTTTCTGTTTGATTTTATTTGATAATTGTAAGCCATTTGCAGCCATGTCTTTCCTCCTTTTTGTTTATTCCTTTTTTTTTTTTCTCTTCGTAGGGTCTTATTTTATTGCCCTAGTTTGCTTGAATGTCATGAAATTCATCCCTTAACCTTCCACATGCTAGGTTCAAGGGTGGTGACATTTACTACTGTTTTTGAGACAATAAAAGTACATTTTAAAATGTATCTAAAAGCTCTAGCTCTGTTTTGCCGGAAGTCTGGGACACTCACAATGTCTTTAAACATTTGAATAGATCCCCAACAGTTGTAGATATAATCATTCTACTGTTCCACCATTCTCTGTGTCCTTGAAGACTGGATGTGTCAGGCACTCACCTTGAGCTGTTTATCCCAATAAGTGGCTCTGTAGAACTCGAGGTTGATGTCTATATGTGCATTATTGTCTTTATATTTGAGATGCCGAGAGTCTGACACCTCTGTTGACAACAGAGCTTATTCACAATGTCTTAATCCATTCTCTTTCACTATAATAGAATGTCCAAGGCAGAGTAATTAATAACAGAAAGAAGTTTATTTACCTCACAGTTCTAGCAGCTGGAAGGCCAAGATTGGTGGCTACGTCTGGTGAAGGCCTCGTGTTGCACCCTGACATGGCAGAAAAGCAAAAGAATAAGTGGGCACAGACCCATGAGACAAAAAAAAGGGGGGGCAGGCTTTCTTTGTAACAACCCAATCTTGTGGCGACTAACCCAATCCCAGGACAAAAGCATTGCAGTGCCACAATGGCAATCAACTTTTACCACAAGTTTCCATGGGGACAAGATTTATTCAAACCACTGAACACAACTTCCTTACTGAGGTAATGGCTCTTATTCTATAGGGTCCATCCAAGTGATGGTGTTTTCTATAGCTACATGGTCCCTATCACGATGGGACCTGATATAGTAGTGCATGCTGTCATTGCGGTGGCAGTCAATAGAGTTATAGCCATGTTCCCTAGAGCTAGGTAGTCTGTGTAGCTATCTGTGTGAATAGGTGTGTATTGTGGAAACAAATTATAACATAATGTATACCAATGAAGGATATGTTGGGCTGTCCTTAAACTCAGGGCAGTTCTCTTGTCCCAGCCTCCCAGGAAGCTTGACTATGTGCTGGCATTCCGTGTATGTGTCCCCATACCCAGCATATACTATCCTTTTAAAAATCAGCACCTATTCAATAATACTCAGAATATTTTCTCTGTTACGTAGATTATTTTGAAATACCATCAGTGACTACTTAATACCACATTATGCTTTATTTATCCTGTAGCCTATATTATGTTGAGGTTCCTCTAGGCTTTCAATTATACAAAGTGCTTTGAGCACGGTCAGGCCAAATATGAAAAGGCACAGTTGTTTCTGTCAAATCAATCCCTAGCACTGCAATTGCTGGGTCACAACATGCAAACAAACAAACAAACAAAAAAAGTGACTCCAAATGACATTACCAAATGATTTCCCATTAAGGTGGCAGCAAGCTCTATTGGAAGTAAGCCGGTATCTATTTTCTACAATACTAACCTCAATCCACCAAGCATTATAGTTTTGTAATCTTTGCAAATTCAATCAGAACAAAGCATTTGTCCTAGTCATATCTTCATTTCCTTGTTATTAAAAGCTCAATATATTTTGTGATTGCCTGTTCATGTCCTTGCCCTCCCTTTTCCTAGTTGGTTTGTAACAATTTATTTTATATTAGGGAGCCCTTTTCATTTATTACCAAACATTTTATTTTGTTACTTGTCAGTTGATGGACTACTGGAACAAAGTTCATAATGAATGAAATATGTTGCTGTGAACATCTGTATACAAGTAAATAGAAGTTTTTACATAGGTATAATTTTTAACTATCTTGAGTGCATCTGAGCTTTGGCATATGGTATGGCCCCTGTGCTGGTTTCAGATGTGGTGGGGATGATCACTTGTGAAACAGAACAAGCATGAGGTCTTGTGTCTCCATCTTTTGATAAAACCTCAGATGTCAATATAAGAGGTCCATCCTCATGATCTCATTTAATCATAATTATCTCCTCAAGGCCTCACATTCAAATACCATTAACATAGGGCCCTAAAGATCAAGTTTCTGGCATACATGAATTCTGGGGAACATATTCAAACCATAATGATCTAAAAGTAATATTGTTAGCACATGCCATAACTTTATGTTTAATGTTCTCAGGAGTTACTAAGCTGTTTCCTTAGAAGAGGGACAATTTTACATCCCTGCTAGCAACATGTTCTAGTCTCTCCACATTCTTGTTAGACTCTTCCCTTTTATCCTTTACTTTCCTTCTTTTTCTTTCCTTTGGGGATGTTAAGGCTTATGTAGGGATGTTATGGCCTGATGAGCTTCACTTGCATTTTTTTCTGATTATTTAATTTATTCCATTCATATATATATATATGAATATATATATATATTACCAGTACTTTATGAACCATCATTCCACTTTTGCTTGTTTTGAGACAAGACCTTAGTATGTAGCCCACACTGGCTTTTGCCTCCTTATTATCCCAGTTTAGCCCACTGGGTGAAGAGATTCCATGCATATTCCAGCACACCTGACTTTTACTTCATGGGTATGCTAGGTCTCTCTTCCTTTTCTCCCTATATCACTCTTGTTTTGTTTTTGAGACTGTCTCATCATGTATATCTCAGGCTGGCCTTGAACTCACACCCTGTTTTAGCCCACTCTATTCAGGAATTTAAGTGTGTGCTACCACATCCAGTTTGCTTCACTTATTTATAATGGTCTTTGACAATATCCAGTGTCTCTCTCTGTCTCTTTCTCTGTCTCTCTTTTTCTCTCACTCACTCATTTGCTCTCTCTTTTCTATTTTGTATTTCTGACTTTACTATCATGTTTAAAATCCATCCCTTGCTCCTAAGATACTATAAATGTTGTCCTAAAATGTATTATGGGCTTATGGGTTTTTAATAAAGATTTTATTTATTTATTTTATGTATGAGTGCTCTATCTGCATATATGCCTGGATGCCAGAAGTGGGCATCAAATTCCATTATAGATGGTTTTGAGCCACCATGTGGTTGCTGGGAATTGAACTCAGGATCTCTGGAAGAGCAGACAGTGCTCTTAACCTCTGAGCCACTTCTACAGCACCTTGGCTTGTGGTTTTATCCATTTCATTTTTTTTAATTGAATATTCAGGTTCATAGACTGTATTGAGTTGTGTGATGCCGGTTAATTCTGTCTCTTGTCCTAATATTATCTTTTGCACACTGCATTTGGTAGAGCAGCTTGGTTCAGCCCTATACTCAGAGAAAATGAGTGGAGCTCAGAAGCCAAAAAGGGATGGAGGCCATGACTTTGGCCTGAGTAATTCTGGTGATAGGCCCATCTGGCTCATTTTGGTTCAGGTTCATGTGAGTCCAAACTTCGGAAAGCTAGTGACTTGAACACATCCACAAAGGGTTTTCTGTGTGGATGGTTAACTTTTCTCTAGTCAGTTACCACTTCCAAAACAGCAGAGGGGATTCAGGCCAGCATCATTGGACTCTAAGCACTTACTGCTTGTAGAGGAATTTTAATCCAGCAAAAAAGCTGCTCTGGCAAGGAATCACATATGAAAGTCTAGATCTGTGTGATCTAGATGGAATACAAACACACCCTAAGAACACATCTTTAACCCCTCTAAGTTGGAAGTTAATGCCCTTTAATCCTAAGAAATGACCTCTAATTGAAGGGCAAAGTGATGAATTAGAGAAAGAATCAACAGAATTAGTCAGAGATAGGATATGCCTAAATCTTATGAGAACAGACAGGAAAAAGAAACTACTTAAGTACAAGACACACACACACACACACACACACACACACACACACACACACAGAGGGAGAGAGAGAGAGAGAGCACACAGGGAGTTCTTGGAGACAGGACAATACAGCTCGGGACTACAGTACAGTTCAGTGCAGTTCATCTGAGTACAGGTGAGTTCATGCAGTTCATTTCATGGAGTTTGGAGGTAGTTTAGAGGTAGTTTTTCCAAGTAGAGCAATTCACCGAGAAACAGAGAAAAGCCAGTTTGAATCAGTCAGCTTAGAGAGGAGTTTTGAGCCAGAACAGCTGAGCTGAACCAGCCAGGCAGAGTTCAGAAAGAGCTAGAAAGGGTGAGCTTATTCAGCAGTATGTCTTGGAGGCTGAAAACATTCTAGACCTAGGTTAGCAGTTGAAGGCTGGAAGCTGAAGCCTTTTAAGTCCAGACATGCAGAAGATTAGATGTCTGGAGGCTAGAAGCTCCCAGGCCTAGGAATAGTTAGGTAGAAACGCTCTGGTCTTAGCCTCAGCCATGTATTTTTAGCTTGTATACAGCTCTCATTTCATCTCATCATCTGAGGAAATACAACATTTACAACTGGTGAAATGTCAATACTCACTTATGTGTCCTCTATCCTGTTCTTCTTTCTCCTGTAACAGTGATGGTGTCAAAAATGCTAGTGCTCAGCTAGGTGTGGTGTGGTGTGGTGGTGCATGCCTGGAAGTCTATCACACTAGACTTTGAGGCAGGAGGATCTAGAGTTTCAGGTGGGCCTGGGTTATATCTCCTGCATCAAAACCAAAACAAAACAGAAATACTGCTGTTCTTTTCATGTTTTTATTAAATTATTTGTATGTTTGGGTGTTTGTCTGCATCACTTGCATGCCTGGTGCCTAAGGAGGCCAGAAGAGAGTACTGGATCTCCTGTAACTGTAGCTTTACATGGTTGTGAGGCACATAATGGATGCTGAAAATTGAACTCAGGTTCTCTTAAGCACCTAGTTTAGTAAAAAGGAAATTAGAGATCTTTATAAAATGCTTTTAATTGGAAGATTCAGCTCCACATTGTAACATAACACGCTTCATTTTCTCCACTTTTCAAAAGTAGAAGATTTTTGGAGTAGTATTATGTGCGTAGTAAAACTGAGTGTAAAGTAGGGTTCTCATGTCCCACCTGCCCATTCTTATACCTTCCCTCATGACAGTGGAATATTTTTATACTTATAAACCTAGACTCTTTGGTTGGTGAAGGAAATGTTTGTGCTTGTTTCTTCCAACATTCTAGAGGAGTCTCTCCTAAGATAGCCCCCCACCAAAGCCTGAGAACATCATCTTCTGACAGTGAGTATTAGGCTCTAGGAAAAGGGTAGTACAAAAGGGATGAACTCAGGGCTCTTTAATATTCTCGTATAGTTCTTGTTACTTGTCTTGGAGTTGTTCTCCAGGAATGGGAGAATGGGGGTAGTTCTCTCTGGATAAGTGTGTGTGTGTGTGTGTGTGTGTGTGTGTGTGTGTGTGTGCGCCTTATAGTTTGCCATGTGGTGATAGTATATCAATATAATCAGATAAATCATTTTGCCACAGGATCTCTTTCCTATGACTCTTATAAGCAGAGCTAAATGTCCTTACCCCATCCTCCCCAGCCTCTATTATCATCAACTTGTTCTGCATTTTTATATATTTAAACAGCTTTTTAAATGTGAAAATATTAGATGTGAGTTTATGCATTTGCATTTGCTTATACTCCAGCTCTTGTGTAGATGTGGTGTAATTTATATAGTCAGATTGAACTGCTTTTTGCTCATCTCTCATCTGCCTGCTAGCCTTGGCTCCCACCCTTCCTAAGGGAGGGATGCTACATGGAACTGTCCCTAGTGGGTACTGAAGAACTAAACTCGAAGAAAGAGCCTAGGCAATATTGTGTGTGGCAAGATTTCAGTGTAAGGAAGCATCCATTTCAATGGGCTTTCTGGGGACTTGAATCTGCTAGTCTGGGGATCATAAGGGTCATATCAGACATTAAGTGCTTTTTTCCTTTCCTCAGGTGGTGGTGGTTATGGCAGCAATGATGACCCTGGATCTGGTGGGTATCTGTGCCCTAAAGTTTTTATTGAAACCAGAAGGAAAAATAACATTGGCTCACTCTGGTCTTAGAGTTGTTCTTCCCTGCCATTCCTCAAATGTTTCCGTTAGTCAGCTTTCCATCACCATGAAAAATACTGAAGGTAGAAGATAAAACTTATGTTGCTTATAATTTTGGAGGTTCCAGTGCATGGTCAGTTGACCGTATTGCATTTGGACATATGGAGAGGTGGACTGTAATGGCAAACACCCATGGTGGAGAAGGCTGCTCACCTCATGTGTTTCTAGAAATAAATAGCTGGCTGTATAGCAAAGCCCTGATTCTGGAAACCATTCCACTGCAAATCCATCCCTTGTTGAGAGTGGAGACCTCATGATCCAATAGCTTCTCAAATGTCCTACTGCTTCTCACTGCTGCCTAAGGGACAGTCTTCAACTCATGAGCTTTTTTTGATGGGGGAGGAGTGGTTCACAGTTAATCACCACAGTTACCAGTAGAATCATAAGGCAAATAGTAGAGAGGAGTAGCCATTGAGTGGAAGTAACATGAAGACCTGGGCCCGGAGATAGGTGGCACAGTGGGAAATGTGCGAACTTGAGATACAGATAATCGGCTGGGTCTCTGTGGGAGAAAGAACTGCATATATGCCTTTCATGTTTTTCAAAATGAAAGTCTTCATGGACGATCAGAAGCACTTGGTAAATCCAAGGGGAACGATGTCATTTGAATGGTTTGGTTATCTATGACATAGCTCTTCCACATGGGCTTGGGGATTATGGACATCTGAGCCAGCATAACTTGGGGCTGTCAGAGCCACAGAATCCTGGATAAGCTGGAGTTTGGAGCCTTGTCTACTCAGTTCTGTCTGTTTTTCCATGTCCAGGCATGTCGACAGAAACTGGCACCATCGCAGGTGTGGCCAGTGCCTTGGCTATGGCCCTGATTGGAGCTGTATCCAGCTACATCTCCTACCAACAGAAGAAGTTTTGCTTCAGCATTCAGCGTAAGTAGACATCTGAACAGGGAAAGGGGTCCAGGCAAGTTCTCATCCCTTCCTCAGCCTACTCAGTACCAGTGGATTTCCTAGCTGGTATACTTTATACGTCATTGGGATAACTTTAGGACAAACTGAAGATTATCCTGGTCTGGAAGAACACATGGGGCCAGAATATGTGATCTTGACTTTCCAGGCATCTCAGCTAGAAGAGGCCATACTCCTATTGGGACAAAGCTCAGTGAGCACCGTGATGTTTGATTTCCCTAGAATGTGAACTCAGTAATCCCCATGGCCTCAGATCTCACCCAAGGGGATGAGAAGTCCAATGCCACCAGCCCCTCTACTGCCAATTAGAACACTGTCGTCTCTGGGGTCTCTTTGACATGACTGAACATCTTTAGGCCTCTTATGATTCTGGCAGTGCTCCTTTCTGATCTCGATTTCTTGATTTGTCACTACCTGTGCCCTCTGCTCCTCCTCAGGTCATTTAAAAGTATATGACCTCATAAGTTGTTTTAAGGAGTAGTAATAAAATAGAAAACAGTAATTTTTAAATTTTGCCTTTTATGTGCTGGAATTTTAGTGAAGAGATCGCTTTTGTTGTGGGCTGTAGACATGAGTAGGGGCACTTGTGGGTAAATCAGGTTGTTACAGAGGGTTCCAGTCTGAGATGCCTGTTGACACAGCATGACAGGGAGCCTGGGAGGATACTGTTGAAGGAGAACAAAAGGGCTGAACTCCTTGGTTTTAGTACCACAGCATCAGTACGTCGCTGCTTAACTGGACAGTCTCTGGTTCAGGGCTGGCAGGTTTTACTTCAAGGGAGGGTACATGACTCAGCCGTACTTGCCCCCTTCCTCAGATTCTTTGATTTCCTGGGAATATGGTGGTCCTTTTTTCTTTTGCTCTTATAGAAAATTCAAGGATATCATCAAGGATATCCACATGTACATGGATCCGAAAGCTTGGTGACAGGGTTGTTAGGAACAAGAAAATATTGGGGACAAAGGCTCAGATTTACTTACCTGCCTGTCCCCTCAACTATAAAGCAAAGGGACTTTCTAATTGGTGAAAAAGATGGGTGTTCCACTCACTAATGGCTTACATTAGGCCAAGGGTGACCCTGGATCAGAAAGAATATTTGGAGGGAGACCTTGTGGAGATATTGGGCAAGGGATTGGCCAGGTTGTACATTGGTGTGAGGAGGCAGCTCCATCTGTCACTCCCCTTTGCTGTGCCTGTAACAAGGAAATAGAAAGATGGTTACAGTTCTGACTTCCTCCAGCCTCATTCTTGTTATCTTTGAAGACAGAGGGAGTGTTAGGGTGTTTCTGTTTTCAGAGGCCTGTCAGCTCCTCTCCCACCCTCTCCCAAGCAGGCAGGTGGCTGAGCTTGTAGCTGCAATCTCTATATAATCTTCTTAGGGAAGGGAATATGGTCCTTATCTAAGGGTACTTGGGGAAAACAGCTCAACTTCTTATTGGCCAGAGGGAAAAGCAGAAGTTTGGATAAGCATTCTCAAGATGGCCTTCTAAAAAGATTAAAAAGATAACACTTTGTTAACCCTGAGTTCTGTATGAGTCATCAAAGTCACTATTGTCATTTAGCCAAAACTTTTTATTAATTTTCGGCCATTTTCCTGTGCAGTGATGCTCTTAGACAGTGATGGGCAGGCCCTGAGAACAGCTAGAGTCCTGCTTCTGTCTTCACATTGCTGAAAGTCTACTTTAACTTAGACGTCACTGTCTTTCCCACGCCCGTGTCTCTTCTCTAACCTAGAGGTCTAGGAGTCCTGCACACATTCCTCCCTCCATGAATAGGCCTTACCCCACCTTCCTGGCACTGTCTGCCTGACACTTTACCTTCTTCACGGAGAACTGTTTAAAAATACTTTGCCAGGTTCCTTGATGATTACAGGGTCACAGCCTTGTGGCTGAACTTGGCATTTAAAGCCCTGGCCATTTGGCTTCTCCCTGTCCCCAGGAAGTCTTCTTCTCCATAGTCATTTTCCCTTCCCATATGTTCTGCCTTCTTTAGGGTACAGCCACTGCTGTTTCCTTTCTGCAGTGCTCCTCTCTCCTCTTACTGTTCAAGCCTGAGGTGTCCTCTCCCAAGGAGCCTTCTCTCTGGCCAGTCTGGCTGCATCAACTATGGTTCATTGTGCTGTCACAGCGCCCCCTGCTGGCCTCATTTGAGCCTGGATTAGCCTGCAGTTTTCCTTGTTTGTGACTAGACAACCAATCCCACACCTGTCTGGATTGTCCAGCAGCAACGTGACTGTCACTTGCACTGTGCTGGTCCATGATCTGGAAGGACCCCGAGGGTGTTTGTGTGGGTAGCTAACTTCATAAGAAGCAGTGGTGTTTGCTTCTACTCTCCACTCTCTGGCTGGGCTGCCGATAAGAGTCAACCATGGCCTCAAGTGATTGGCAGTTGGGAAAGGCAGATGAAAAGCCCCAAGGAGATGGAAAGTGGTTGCTGGTAGGAACTTCCCTCACCTCATTGATCTCCAACCTCTGTTGCTATCAAAGGGGTTCCCATTTTGGGAATACTCAGTTTCCCTGCCTGCCCTCAGTGCCAAGTGTCAGTGAGTTTCATAAAATACTGAATACGGTTTGCTGCCTGGAGCTAAGTTCTTACTCCAGGGCTCTAAGCTTCATGTCTTGTCTTCGGATGCAGCAGAAGGTCAAGGTAACAGCGTGATTTTACTTGCTCATGTTCCTTGTGCTTTGGCCCTGGACACCTCTTTATTCCCCTCTCCTTGCTTTCTACCTCACTTCTCTCCCTGGCATTCACCAACTTGCCTGTGATCATACCATGTATAGCTTTTCCTGAGATGTTATGGGGGTGCCACCTGCCACATTATCTATTTCCAGGCCCAAAGTAGCCAGAGTTAGGGATGTCCGTGGGGTAGGGAGGGGGCCCACTCAGATACCTGTGGGTGAACACCTTCCAAAAACCATTGGAGGAAAAAAGACTGTCTCCTACTCACTAAGCGGGAATTTGGGCAGTGGTTTGGAGGCCCAGAACACATCTCCTATCTCCCAACCACTGGCACTAGGGCCATCACCTGCCTGGCTTTGCATGGTAGTTAATCACCCATGCAGGAGAATACTGCCTACATTTTTCACTGGCCCATCTAGCTTTCATCTTGAGCCCAAGAGCTATCAGTTCTGGTGAAAGCTAGGAAAGTGACTTGTCCAGTGAGTTGGTCGGTTGGCATTAGAACCCATTTTCCCTAGAAGTTCTGGGTTATTCAGAGAGAAGACTCAGACTTTTAAGCAACCATGAATGTGGGGCTGCTCTCAGACCTTGAATGATGGCCTTTGGCTGATTGAAGAGATGCTTCATTGAGTTGCTGCAGATCCCTTGAGGATAATATGGTAGTGGGATAGGTGTGGGGAGGACACACTAGACCAGAGCAGCTGTTTGTGGACCCTGGATCCGCCAAGCATGGGTGTGGACAGCAGTCATTTCTCTGGTCTGGAGAAGCCAATTGACTTCTTTCTGCATAACGGTGCTTTTGGGATGGCCATATGCCAGTATTTCCAGAGTGATCCCTGCACATCCATCTGCCCTTCCTTACCCTGCATCCATCAGTCATTTATTCCCTGAGCACTTCCTCTCTACCTCCCTGGCCTCTGGACCTCATGTGGACCTGTGGATGATTCAGAGCCCAATCATCTGGTCTCCTCTCCATGCCTCTTTATGGATGGGGTGGGGACCTTTAATGCATGATGCTGTTTATAAGAATGGTGATGAGAAGTCTTGTGCAATTGGTTCCTTGGTGGCCAGGCTTTCTCTAGAAGAGGACGTGCTGGTGATCCAGGAACACGGAGCTGATCCTGGAAGCCTTTGCTGTCATAGAGGACTCAGTCAGAAGTTCTTAAATCTGAATGCCCCTTTGTTTCATTGTGCCTCTTTTACTTTACTCTCTTTACAGAGGGCCTCAATGCAGACTATGTGAAGGGGGAAAACCTGGAAGCTGTTGTGTGTGAGGAACCTCAAGGTGAGGACTTCACAGTCACTGTCCCCTAATGAAGACTCTCAATTCATTGTCTCCAGCAATGAATAGAATTAGTTTAGGGAGGCCCAGAAGATTCTGTTTCTTAAATATCTCTCCATCATAAAACCTTCAGGGGCCCAGGTCTGCCTGTATCCTGTAGCTGGTCAGCTGGTTTCCCATTTTCTTGAGAATAGGGATACTGGTGCCATGGTAATGGCTTCTGGGAATGTTTGCTGCTAAGCCTTAACTGTTGAATCATCTGAATGTGTGCCTGGGACACCTCACCTATTTTGCCAGCAGACATACACACATGCATCCTGGGCATGCTCATCTAGAAAGTTTTGTATCTAGACCTGTAGCTGGGAGTAGATTTGAATTCCTGATCTACTCCCTGAGTGCTGGGAATCCAGGTATGGGTCCACATCTGTCTCTAGACTTTTTGATTAGAAAATGGCCAAAGACAATAAGACACTTAGTTAAAAGCCATATATTCTATTACCTTCTCTGGGGGCAATGAGTACTTTGGAGGGTTCAGTGACTAGCAGAAACTATAGTCCACATATGGTAAGTCTAAAGAAGAAGGAGACATGCCTATGGCCTGAGAATGCTGATGGGGATACATAGCTTTGTTAGGCAAGGAGGTAAGCCTTCTCTCTTTAAGCTGAACCTGTGGTGTCACAGACAAGGAGAGTAGAAGAGGCCACAGCTGCAGGACAGAAGCTATGGAGCCTGGGTACTTGAAAGGACCTGGCCCTACCTGTTCCATAATGGAGTATGAGGTCCTTTAGTCACTGCTTAAGAAGTTATCTGGTAGTGCAACACCAAATGTATGGCAGTTGTCTTGGATGCAAATGCTGAGCTGTGGATTCTATAGGAGCATACTATATGAAAATTTTAACACTTTAATCAATACTGAGTTAACACCCAAGGAATGAGTGCTATGATGAATGCTTTAGATCCAATGATTTAGAAGTCTTGATGGATATATGCCCATTTTGTAGAAGGAAAAAATGGAGGCTGATCTCTTTTGTGCAGCCTGCCAAGCTTTTGCGTTTGCTCCCTTGGCCCACCCTGCACTTTGCATCCAGGACCCATGGCAGTCCTACAGGGACCAGTGAGCAGGTCTGGGAGGTGCTGAACTGCCCACACAACAAAGATCTGAACATCTATCCTACCAGACAGGGGACTTGAGCAGAGCAGAGGTGAAACCCTCCTAATGCCCTAATGCATGTCTTTTCTCTGTAGTGACATATTCACAACAAGAAACGCAGTCTGCAGAACCTCCACCATCTGTGCCATCCCGGATCTGAGGCCCTGTTTAGTGGCAGGTGCATATGAAGGGTGCCACTGCTTGTGACCCAGCTCCAGGTTTTATTTGCCAACCCTTTCGCCAAGTTTCTTCTCATGCCACTGGCTTCTTATTGTACTGAGTTTTCTGGACAAGCCTTAGGTGTTCATGAGTGTGGTATCTATGACCTGTCCTGTACAGTATGGTGACTGTTCTGCCATGGGTCATCTGAAGAGACTTGGTCCTGAGACTTAAGACCCAACTTGAGCAGATCACTAGCACCAGTGTTGGGAGTTTCATAGAGACAGCTTGCTCCAGAGTTAGCATAGGGAAAAAGGAGGATGACCAAGATGAGGGTAGTCAAGAGGATGGTGGGAGCAGTGCTTCAGGAGAAAATTTCTGCTGAAGCAACCTCTAGGTACTATGAGACTCTTTACCCATATTCTATAGTGGGTTGTTGTGGTACTGACCACTGAGAGCTGAAATTAGTATGCTTAGCTAGCATCTGGTGCATATGGAGTCTGTACAAGAAGCAAATCAGCCAACCCCAAGCTGCAACACACACACACACACACACACACACACACACACACACACACACACAGGCATACACAAATGTACACACACACACACACACACACACACACACGAACAAATGCATGCACACATGTGAGTGCACACACACAAGTGCACACACATGTAATACATGTGCACACCCATGTAACACCTAGGCACTTTAAAATTTTCTCTTTGAATGCTTTTTCCAACTTCAGGTTTTATATTACTCAGCTTCCAGAGAGCTTGTCCAGGTGGAGGCTCTTCAATCATTTTAGTGCAAACATGTGTCTCACCTTGAGTTTAGTCTTACCTTGAGTTTAGGAATCTGGAGAACGTGGGAGCTGTGACTTGCAGGTTTATTGCCATCAGATTCAATAGGGATCGCTGACCTGGTGACAGGTCTTAGAAGTCACTTCTACATTGGAAATGAATTTTCCACCAGGTCAGAGTAGGTGCTTCCTACCCTGTACATGATCTTATTTGAGTAGTAAGAACCTGAGAATGAATATGGAAGCCAGAAGCATGCTTGTTGCTTTATTAGAAGCTGGTGGGGGAGGGGAGGGGAGAAGGGATGCTGGCTTAGCTGAGTGGAATGCCACTGCTGCCTTTGTAGTTGTGTAGCCATCCTCCCAGTTTGCTCTCATAAGGAGGCTCTGTCCATGTTCACCATGGTAAACATGGGAAACCAAGGACTAGGGCTTCACCTGGCCCCAAGCTGATTGCTATCCCTAGTTTGGGGTGGAGCCACCTGCTTCCTGGATTGTTCCTTTGGCTTTTGGTCCTTGGCTCCAGTGACCTCTACAGTGAACCCTGCATGTGAAAAGCTAAGCAAAAGTCTATGTGAACTAACAGTTAAAAAAAAAAAAGGCACTTCTGAAAGCGGAGTGTGTCACTGGGAAGGCAAGATCCACAGCTCCTCTGGATGACATGATTGGCCCCATATATTCCACAGGCTGTGAACTGGCTCCTTTACATCTGCTGAGCTGGGATGAGGCAATGCCCACCTTAAGAAACTGAAATCTTGTGCTGTCTAATGCATGCCTTGAGTGTTTGTTGTTTAAAGACTATTCATGGTGGAGGGCTGGTGGTGGTGTCATACCTCCAGGCAGCCTGAACATCAATTCCCAATGTGTACCTTTGGGCTATGAGATGCCCCTTTGGGCTATGAGATACCCCTTTTGCTTGGCCTTTAGTCCCAGACAGTCCAGGTCTGTGGATCTGATATGGAAGCTGGAAAACTGGGGAAATGGCACCAAGGACAATAAAAACATGGCCTCAGGAAGTTAATTAGCAAGGGAAGTATTGTTTGCAAGATGCGTCAGTTTCCAGAACCTCCTAACTTGCTGTCGCCTTCATCAGGATTGTGCCTCAGTGTCATCAAGACATCAAGAGATGATTCTGCTACCCTCTGGCCAGTGATGAGCTAGAGGTGACTTCAGGAAGGATTTTAGTATTTCTGGTCTGTTGATACGTAGCTAGGGTAATCTAAGAGGGGATTGTCTACTTTACCTTTATGCTGAGGCCTGTCTGATGGTAAAGCCCTTTAACCCCACAGCCATGATGTAAAATAAATGCCCTCTTGTGAAACTATTTTCTCAATAACACTGGTACCAGTGAAAAAGAGCTCTACTTTGCTCTCCCTTAGCTACCTCGGTGCCTTCTGCATAAAGCCCTTCTGCATAAAACCCATCACTCAGCCCGCAGGCGCTAGCTAAGTGGCTGGACAGGCCTGGGCGGGCCATCGGCCTCCTGTTCATACAGTCTCATCCCAGGGGCCGGGCTCCTCCTTCCCACTGGCATTTTATACTTGGTGGGGCATTGTGGCCTGCAGAAGGCTTGGGACTGGTCTTGTAACTGTGTCCCCCCTGAAGGCTGAGTTGGCCAACTTGGGCTAGTCCCAGGTGATAGAAGGGAGAAAATGAATGAAGCAGAAGAGTCAATTGCCAAGATCTGATCTCTGTCAATGTAACTTGACACGAAGAGCTTTACAAAAGCTGAATATTCTCAAGTGGTCTCAGCCACTTGGGTTATGGTTAGTACCAGTTCTCTGAGGAAGACATGCTGGAGACTGCCAGAATCCCTGTACATCGTTTTACATGCTTGTGTCCAAGTGTGAACTGTAAATGGTCTAGTGTTTGCATTAAACAAAGTGGAATCCAACTGCTTCTTATGTTCTGTTGTTATCTGTCTTTTCCTATTGTCTCTTGTGATATGCTGACCTTACTCCCCTTCTCCTAAGCCAAAGGTATATCTTGGGCAGGGTAGCATATTTGCTATCATTCCGCCCACAAAATGCCCAATCGTGGGGCTTCTGCTGTTGGGCCCCCATGGTACAGGAACTGTAGCATGACATGTGGGATGAGGAGGGGAAGGCTGGAGCAGAGCCCTCTTCCAGAGCACCAATTTCTTTGGTAGGCTTAGCACTGGCTCCACTACCCAGGTATCTTTAGAACATACTGCTCAGTCCTAAAAAGTAAGCCAGTAATGAGTATGCTTCCTCCTGTGGGGTGCTATTATGGAAGGGATTCTGGGAGGTAGTCCAATACTCTTATGCCTAATATTGGGATCTCTTGCTAACTTAGCCATAATTTACATGAAGAGGATGACTGATGCCAGGCCCTTAAAGAATGGTGACACACAGGAGGTGGTGGAATCTCTCAGTTGCTTTTAGAACCTTAAAAAAACAAAGCACAGTCCCATAGAGCTGGCAAGAAGAGAACAGAAGAGAACACTGGCATAGGAGGACCCACTGCCTCTGGTCACTCCAGGCCTTTCTCTATGTTTCACATTTCTTCAAGGTTATGAGCAAGGGAACTTACAGATTTGCAAATCAGATCACCTACCTGTTCCAGCCCAAACACTCAAAACTCACAATAAATTACGGACAACTTAGTAAGTCAATCAAATAATACTGGGCATTTTACATATATTAACTGTGGAAGGCACAGAGTAAGCATTTGACACATGGCACTTTATTAGTACTCATTTTTTTCTCAGGGAGAAGAAAACTACTGAAATGGCTAAAAGAGAGAGACAACAAAAAGACCAGGGAGCAAACATATTATCATTTTAATTACAGGTTGGAATACAGTGCATCAGATGAGGCAAATACAGTATTGTACTAGTTGTTTAAAAACCTGAACCTTAAAGGTTTTACATTCTCCCCAAGGGGGAGCAGCCTTACCAGGCCACAGAGGAAGACAATGCAGCCAGTCCTGATGAGACCTGATAGGCTAGGGTCAGATGGAAGGGGAGGAGGTCTTCCCCTATCATTGGACTTGGGGGAGGGGCATGGGAGGAGAAGAGGGAGGGAGGGAAAGAGGGAGAGGTACAGCTGGGATACAAAGTGAATAAATTGTAATTAATAAAAAAATAAATTAATTAAAAAAGGTTTTACATTCTAGTACTTAAATAAAACATACATGAAAGAATTGCTTAGATAAGAAAACTATACTTCAAGTTGTTTTAGAAACAGTTCTGTGCTAGAAACATACAAAGGGAAATACTCTGTTGTGCTTCCTTAAAATCCAGTGGAAATTTCTAGGGGTGCTGCAGGTGTGCAGCTGAGAGGACATGGCTTGACCAGGCTAGCTGACCTTACCAAGCAGCAGCCCCTGTGGCTTCTCTGGTTCTGTCAAAGCTTCATCCAGTCCACCTTATTTATATTCAACAGTCCTAGTGTTGCTGGAGAATTAGATGGTATTCTAGGGAAAAGTTGGTAAATGTTCCCAGTTTGTAAAAGTATATGAAGAGAAAATATTGCAGTTCATATTTTCTTTTTGGTATTGATTTTGAGACAGGTTTCCACAGTATAGGTCTGTTGTCCCAGAACTCAAAGTATAGCCAAAGCTGACCTTGAACTCACAGCAGTCCTCCTACCTCAGGTATGGCAGTCTAACCATTTACAAATAAGGATTTTTATCGAAGAACAGCATAAATGAAAAGCTAATATCACTTAACGTGTAGTTTAGAAACAAATCTCCCAGATAATAAAAATGGAGAATTGATCTTAGTTTATCAAATTTCCTTGAATAAATGTCTGTGGTTATCTTATGGTTGGATAGTTTTCTGTTCCAAGTTGAAAAATCATCTACTTTTTATGTGTTCAGCTGTAAAAAAAAAACAACAAACAAACAAAAAAAAAAAAAAACAAAACTCTTTTAAGAATACATTTTGAAAATGGAGGTCATTATATAGGAATGCATGGCATCCAGTGATTGGGCACTGACCAGAGGAAGATGTGATGTATCTGTGCTCAGGGGCTGACTCTGTCAGCTTCAAACACATCTCCAACTCTGAAGGGCCTAAGGTGACACACAGAAATGGGCATGGTGGTGGGAGTGGGGATATTGGCACTGCACACAGAGTTGCTGATGGGACATTCATTCCTACATGGACTGATGGAATAGCAGATCTCAAAGCTGTTAACTGTGGAGAGAGGCCTGACTAGCCAATGCTCCTCTGAGAAACGAAAACCAAGGAAGAGCATGCTATGCTTTCCAACCTAAGCTGCAGCATATTTGTTGCTTTAAAGTATGGACAGGCAGCCTTAAAGTATGTAAATAAACTGAGAAGAGATTGTGATAATTGCAAACAAGGTGTTCAGGTATCCAACAAGTGAAAGAAGACTTTATAGGACACAGGTGCTGGGCATTTTAAACAGGTGATAGGATGTAAGATCTAATGGCCAGAGTTGCTCCTTTAGAGAGCTGTCATAGAGAGAGACCAAACACATGCACACAGTTGCTGCTTGAGCCCTCAGTTTACCTGCAACAAAGCCAGAGCACTGAGCATTCATAGTTTGGTGCACCCTGAGGGAACCTGCAGTTACTCTAATGAATGACTAGGTTGTGTCACCTCAAAAGGCAAGTACCAGGGTTAGAGGACAATACTAGATTACCACTGAGATGACACATCTGAGATCTTAATTCAAATGTACCACACAAAAGTCAGCATAGTTGGGCAAGAATTTCTCATACAGCACAGTTTAGCAGACAACTATTCTAAACATAAAAAAGGACATAGGAAAATAAAGGCATGTTTCTCTTTAAAAAATACATATTGTACCAATTGTACAGGAGGACTTCTTGCATGAAGATAACTGTAGAACAGCTGGCAATGGTTCATTTGCCACGCTAATATTTCATTTAAAACAGTTTTTAAGTTGTGCCAAAAGGCTGAGAGAAGCCACATGGCTGGTGATGTGTTCTATAAGTGAGCAGGTTGTTCCTAAGGAAGGACCTAACTTGGAAAGAAGTGGTGTGAGATTCTCTTAAGCTGAAATACTGCACTGCATTCAACCTAGTTTCTCCCAAGCTGCCTGTACAAGACGAAGGTGGTTCACAGGGTGGGTGTGACATGTTGCTCCCCTGTGAGGCTGCCCATAAAAGGGTCACAGGCGGTTCACACAAAAGAAGTACTTGTTAATAATAGGAGCTGTCACCTAGCCACACAAATGGTACCTGGGCCTAATCCTAAGAGCTAAGATGATAAGCTAGAACCATAACATCAATGGCCAGGTTCCTGAGCTGCTGGAAGACAGTAGAGCAGCAGGATGGCCCCTGACACTGGCCTTCTCCATCAGACTGAGGTGTGTACAGGAGTAGCTGAGTGGGTAGGTGAGGAACCCCTCTCAGAGGAAGATGAGACGGTCCGTGTAGCCACTTCCCGCTGCAAGTCCTCCACCCGCTTCTGCAGCTCAGCCTTGACAGCCAGCAGCTCCTTTAGATTCTGATGAATTGGCATCTGGCAGTGAACAGAGACAAGGCTGTTAATGTACTGTTGTTGCAATAGTGTTTGTTCTAAGGATTTCAGCATCTAGGTTCATAGCTTAATGATTCTTTCAGCAACCAGATGCCTATGTGCCTAGTCTCCTAGACCACTGGCCAATCTTTCACCAAGTGGACAGTGATTGTCTTAAAAGGTTAGGGTTTCTATTACTGTGATAAGACACTAGGACCAAAAGTAATTTGTGGTGGAAAGGACTTATTTCAGCTTACAACTCTCAGGTCACAATCACCAAAGGAAGTCAAGGCGGGAACTCAAAGCAACAACCTGGAGGTAGAAACTGAAGAGGCCATGGAGGAATACTGCTTACTGGCTTTCCCCTTATAAATTTCCAGACCTGCTTACTTATAGCTCCCAGGACCATCAGCCCAGGGGTGACACTGCCTTCCCACACCAATCATCAAGAAAATTTATGGAGGCATTTTCTCAACTGAGTGTCCCTCTTCCCAAATAAATCTAGTCTGTGTCACACTGACATAAAACTAACTAACTAACTAACTAACTAACTAACTAACTAACTAACTAACTAACTAACTAACTAACTAA